TGATGTGGTGATCCACGATCCATTGTTTTCGTATAACACCCAGTGCTCCATGCAGTACGTGCCCTCCTTAATACCCATCACCGGGCTAACCCATCTCCCCTCCCCCCTCCCCTCTAGAACCCTCAGTTTGTTTTTCAGAGTCCATCGTCTCTCATGGTTCGTCTCAAAGTATATTTTAAGATGAGATTTAAATCCCATTTTTGAAGAACATATCCAACATTATCAAAGTTTTCTCTATATTAAAAATATTATAAAATCAACTCATACATTCTTAGAACTTAATGTAAACTACTCAAATAACAGATATTATTGAGAGTCTGTTTGAGCCCACTGTCTAAAAATGGATTCTAATAATTAATATTTACATGTTTAAATGTATATGCATTGACAATAATTTAAACCAATAAATACAAAATCAATCAATTACTCAAAACGTACTGGCTACATAACAAGTACTTGCCTTTAGTGCTACCATGTAGAAAAGACAAAAATCTCTGTCAGCACAGGCATTTATAATTTTAAGTACATTGAACTAGATATCAGCTGACACTGTCCTTGGAAAGGAATGGGAGTGCATGTTATAACCCCTATGAAAGGGGTTTTTGTAACATATGGTGAAATTGTATATATATTTACTATTTTGCCAATCAATACTGCTTGTAGAAATACACCTTGGATATAGACCTCAAACATGAAACAATATACATATAAAGGCATTATTTGTTTAGCAATATGCATTGGGGCATTATTTATACGGCAAATTATTAGAAATAATGAAAAGGTCCATGTATTGGCGACTAGTTGTATATAAACAATAATGTAGCAAAAACTGAGGTACTAACAAGTCATAAAAATCAATGAGAAAGGTGTCCGTTAACTATTTTACTGGGATTCCAGACATATACATATTGTTAGGTGAAGTTAACAAGGTGCAAAAGAAATGATATGGTATTGACCTCTGCATGAGATAGAGGATGACAGGGGACTAGGTATGTATATATGCACTTACTCATGTACACTCATTTTTGTAAAACCAAACACAGTATAAAGTAGAATGAAGATGAAATCTTCATTTCAAATGAAGATGAAAATCGTTACCTACACAGTTGGTTGAGAATGTGGTAGATGGTGTAGGCATGGGAATGAATTTTCTTTCAGAACTTTTTATATAGCTTTGAGTTGTGAACAATACACGTTTCACAAATTCAAAAATACAATTGAATTTAAGAAGTCTCAAAATGCAACCCTTAAAACTTTTTGTAATTGTAAGAATATAGTAATTTTGACAATATTAGCCAAAATATTGACTATGATAGAGCAAATGAATTACACTGTTGTGTTGAGAATCAGGTTTCTCATGTGGGAGAAGGAAGAGAGTGTGAGGTAAATTTAAGAAGAACCCTATGGCATAGGATTGAAAGGGAGATATCAGTATGAAACAACATTTTTTTTTTTTTTTTTAAGTAGGCTCCATGCCCAGCGTGGAGCCCAAATGCAGGGCTTGAACTCATGACCCTGAGATCAAGACCTGAGCTGAGATCAACAGTCGGACACTTAATGAACTGAGCGCCACCCAGGTGCCCCGAAACAACAATTTTTAATAATTCTATTTGCTCTGTCCCCTGAAAGGGACATCCCAGCAATAGTGAGCACATCTAGTGCCCATTTCTTAGATATTAAATACCTTGTCCCTATAAAGCAAACCTTAGAAAAGTGTCTAATTCTAGCTTTAAAACTAGTTAAGTGGTGGGCGCCTGGGTGGCTCAGTTGGTTAAGCGACTGCCTTCGGCTCGGGTCATGATCCTGGAGTCCCGGGATCGAGTCCCGCATCGGGCTCCCTGCTCAGCAGGGAGTCTGCTTCTCCCTCTGACCCTCCCCCCTCTCATGTACTCTCTCTCTCTCTCATTCTCACTCTCTCAAAATAAATAATAAATAAATCTTAAAAAAAAAAAAAACTAGTTAAGTGGTGCAACTGGAACATCTTGTGCCAGAAAGTAACAAAATGTTCAAAAACTAATAGAGACGATTCAAAAGACCTAGGGATTGACTTGCAAAGGATCCTGCTGGCCAAACTGGGGAGTATCCAAAAGAATAAAAATAATACCTAATAATAATAATAATAATAGTAATAATAATAAACCCATGAAGACAAAGTAGCTCCACTCCTCCTAGGTTCTCCCTCTTACAACTAAAACTTGTCAGATGTAACATAACAGACAAGCCTGGGGAGACTTTGTAAGCATGGGAAGAAGAAAGTAACTTGAGGAACAACATGGTGGTGAGTTCCTGTTTCTTTTTCTTTTCCTTTTTTTAAAGGAGGCTCTATGGAGGGCTTGAATTCACGACCCTGAGACCAAGACCTGAGCTGAGATCAAGAGTTGGATGCTTAACTGACTGAGCCATCCAGGTGCCCCAAGTTCCTGGTTTCTATATTGCCTCTTATATATACCAGACAAGGCACTGCAGAAGCCTTGAACCCAGATCAGCTAAGAGGGGTAGACAAAAAAAAGAGGAGGCAAGCTGATCTTCCAGCTCCTGCTGGTAGACACAGGCAGCACTCCAATTCTCTTGCTGGGTAGCAGGCTGAGAGAAAGTGTTGGCAGGGTAGAGTTTATCTGAATGAATGAATGAATGAATGAATGACTAAATAAAAATGGTCCGACAATATTCTGTCCACAAGAAACTTCTTCAAATTTAGTGACCTTGGTAGTTTGAAAGAAAAAAGATGGAAAAAGATGTATCATGCAAATGTTAATTATAAGAAACAGAAATGATTACATTAATATCATATAAAATAAATTTCAGAGAAAATTAAATTACTAGAGACAAAGAGAGGCATTACATAATATAAAATATTGATACATGAGGGAGACATATAATCCTAACATGTCTATAACAGATAACAGAGCCTCAGCTTACGTGAAGCAAAAATTGATAGAGATGAAAAGAGAAATAAACAAATACACCATTATGGCTGTGTGCTTTAACATCCCTCTCTCAGCAACTGATAGAACCACAGTCAGAAAATCAGCAAGGATACAGAGGACCCAAATAACAAAACTAAGTGACAGAATTTAAATGACATATGTAGAGCATTCCACAAAACAACAGCAGAATACATATTTATTTCAAGCTCCTGTGGGACATTCACTAAGACAGACCATATCCTGGGTCATAAAACAAACCTCAACAAATTGAAAATAAGCTAAATCATACAGACTATGTCTTTCTGACCATAGGAAATCAGTAATGGAAAGAAAAAGGGCGGGGGGAGAGGGTCTTACACTGCCTTTTTCCATTCTGTCCTGGCACCACTCTTTGAATGTCTTCTCAAAACCAATAAAAATTTGTTGTAATTCACAAACTCAGTAAACAAGTTCAACAGTCCTCAATGCAAGAGGAAAAAGGAAAAGGAGTAAGAGATTTTTTTTTCTGTTGATATAAGAGCTATGGGTTTGTACAAATAGAAGCTTTTGGGTGTTTTTTAAAAAACGTATTTATTTATTTGAGAGAGAGAGAGAAAATGGGGCAGGAAGGGGCAGAGAGAGAGAAAGAGAATCCAAGCAGATATTGCGCTGATCATGGAGCCCGACTTGGGGCTCGATTTCACGACTCTGAGATCACGACCTGAACCAAAATCAAGAGTCAGACGCTTAACTGACTGCCACCCAGGCGCCCCTATTTTTTTTTTTTTTTTAATTGCTCTTAAAAGCCATAAGGTCCTACTGGAGATCTGGATACAGAGAAATCCAGAGAAGAAAGAGATAGGTTTCAAAATCAATTCTGTTAACATTTGTTATGTTTTTGTTTTCCCAGACTCAGGGAAATTACTCAGAAATAAAATGGTAATGACACTGTTTTAAACAAAGAGATCAAGTAGCCTCCTCTGAATAAAGTGTGGGCCATCAGACCATGCATGTTCGGTAGTCAAAGAATCATAGAATCACTAGCTAAAACCAACCTTAGCTATTACCCGGTGCATCCCCCAGTGTGTAAGGAGATGCAGAAGCCCCCCCCCCCAAAAAAAAAAAAAAAAGAAGTTCCTTGCCCAAGGTCACATAGCTTGTGTCTTCTGAATTTAGATCCCCATATGCTTTTATACAGCAAATATTCTGTGAATAAATGTGATGATGTGATGGGGATTTGAAAATAATAAAAGCTGAGATGTAAAAGACAAAAAAAAAAAAAATCCATGAAGCTGTACTCACACTTACAAATATAAAGGGGGGGGAGGAAAGCAGAGGAAAAAGTTTTTATTTCCTTAATATAAGAATCTCCAGCTAATAAAAAACAGCAAGGATGATAGACATAATAACTGATACTAGTATGGATACTAAAGTGTTTCATCAAGTGAAAGGTTGGAAGGAAAGGGGTTTATTCACATTGTTTCAAATTGTCACCCCCACAATTATTTATTAGTTATAAGGGAGAAAGATAACCTTTACAATATAAAGATCTGGCAGACACAACCTTAACCAAGGGATTAAACTTAGCATCCCCAATAATGGGACTTTGTGTCTCCTGATGTGTTGCAATAAGTTCACGGTATGTGATATTCTTCCAATGTTAGTCAGAATTAAGTAATGAAAAAACAAAGATAAAGTAAAACAAAGTATATCAATGCAATGTAGTATTATAGAACCGTTAATATATTTATGTAGTTCTGTATGTCCTAACATGGA